CTCCATGCTCCATTTTACAGATAAGAAAATTGAGACCCAGAAAGGACCAGGGATTAAGTCACACCTTCTAGGAGGAACCCTAGAACTTAGATAGGCAGAACCTTAGACATGATCACTTCCAACTCCCTCGTGTCACTGAAACCTGAGTGGAGTAAGGATTGCTCCGAGGTCATCCAGGTGCCACGGGCAAAGACAGGCTTCAAAGTGAGTCCCTGCGAGTGCCAGCCCAGGGCACCCCTTCCCGGCCCCCCAGGTAGTTTGCACTCACCTAGGTAGAGTTGTGCTATTCTTTTCCCATGGTCTCCGAACAGGCTCTGGAGGGTGAGGGAAAAGAAAGGGGGACATGAAGGCTGGGGGCTGGGAGGGCCTTCCCCCCTCCCCCAGAGGCAGGTAGCCAGCTCAGAACAGCACCAGGCAAACTCACCATTCTGTGTGGGAATTCTTGTTTCAGCTTCTTCCTGCTTGGGAAGGGAGAAAGGGGACTCAGTCCCTTCTCACTGGTGCCAATGCTCCCCACCTCCCAAAGAATCAGGGCTGGGGAAGGGAGAAAGGTGCCACCCGCCTTCCTCTCTCCCTTCCTCACGGCAGCTAGGGGACAGTTGGAAGTCGAAACTCGGGGAGATGCGGGGAGATAGGGAAGAGGAAGCCCCCTGCTCCCCACTCACATTGGCAGGTTCGTCCTTGGCTGGGGGCTTCTCCCCAATCAAAGTTGCTTTCCTCCTGAGGCCGGAAGTGGATGTGGGGTGAGTGTGGGGCCCCCTCCTGAGGCATCCTAGCCCACCCCCCACCTGCATGCAGGCATGATTTCCTCATACCTTCCCCATCCAGACTCCCCCTCCTTCCTCCTCTCCATTGCACTTCTGGCCCCTGACCCGTCCCTCTCGCTGTGTGGTCCTGAGTAAGTAATTCTCTTCCCTTTTCTGGGTCTCAGTCCCTGCCACTGGACAACAAAGGGTCTCTAAGGCTCCTTGGAAGGGTTGATCTCTTCTGGTTTAAGGCTCCTTCCAGCTTTATGCACGGGGAGCTGAGGTTTGCTTAAATGCAGAGCTGGGAACCGTACGTCCCATTTGCCCATTCTCTGCCCCCTTACCACCCACGATATCCCAGCACACAGTAGGCACTCCAGAAATACTAGACAGCAGCAGCGGCCTCAAGTTCTCCCACCATGGTCCTGCGACCCCATGGCTGAGGGCTTGGGGTGGGTGAACAGGGCCCTGGCCCAGGGCTCACCTCCGGGCCAGCATGGCGCTCATTTCTTCCATTAGCCCTCCCCCGGTGCTCCGAGTGCTCTCAGCTTTTGGGGTGGGAGGGGGCCCGGAGGACTCATCCTGCAAGGGGGAAAGGTCGGAGGGCACGTTGGGAGTGCCCCCAGCTTCTCTTTGCTCCTCACACTCCCCCCGCTCACCAAGACTGTGCAGTGAAGAGCAGTTGGGATCAGGGCTGCTATTTCCACAGTCACACACACTGTATGTGATTGTGTGACAGGGATTCTCGCGAGCCACTGTCATGTCCCAGGTCTCATAGGGACATGGTGTCAGCTACCCCAGAGGCACCCGCACAATCTCACCTTGCCGACCTTCCTGAGTTTGGCTCCCGCGAGGGCCGCAGCCAGGCCTGGGGCACCCCCGCCTCCCCCACTGGGGCCTTGGGCAGACGGCAGTGGGGGTGCTGGGGGTGGGCCTCCCGCCCCACCTAGGGCTGGAGGCCCCGCTCCTGATGGGGGCAGCCCAGGGGGTGGGGGTGGGCCAGGGGGAGGAGGGGGTCCTGGAGGGGGTGGGGGCCCCCCAGCTGGGGCTCCTGAAACACACAAACAAAAGGATATTTGGGAGTTGAGAGAGGGAGCAGAGACTCAGGGGGCAGAAGGGGAACCTCTAAAACTGAGAACTTGGAACCCAGAATGTCAGAGTAGCTGGCACCAGCTCAACCTCATTTCACAGAAGGGGAAGTTGAGACCGAGGCAGGTAAAGGGACAGAACCGGGACGCCAGTGAGATAAAGGCAGAAAAGGCAGAGCTTGAAGGAGACTTGGTTATCTGATGGGAGTTGATGCAGTGGGGGCTCAGAGGACAGAGGCACTGGCCAGTGGCAAGCCGTCTGAGCTGGGGTCTCAGCATCCCCCCCCCTCCGGGGGCCTTTACCTGCATTGGGGACCCGGCGGTCTCTTTCCACCTGCTCCTGGTGTTCTAGCTGTTGCCTGCAGGAAAACAGAGAGAGGATTAGGGGAGGAAGGAGTTGGGGCCTCCACCTCATCCCTGTGCCCCTGAATTCCATCATGGCCTCTTGAAGGTCAAAGAAGGGGTGTGGGATGGCAGGAAGCCCCGCTGAGAGTCTTTGCCTTACCCAGTCCTGAAGCTGATTACTTCCTCCAGTTAAATCGGGGGATCAAATGGGAGGGGGGCCTGTGGATCCTGATTCCATCCCCCCAACCAGGGTCCACAAGGGATAGGATTTAGAGGGAGGGGGAAAGACAAAGGCTGCAGGGAGGAGGTCAGGTGAAACGGGAAGGAAAATATGATGGGGGTATCATTTACCTCCTCTGCTGCTCTATCTCTTCTGGTGAGGGTCCATTTTGGACAGACCAGGATGCAGGGGGAGGGGGTGGTGGCCCACCTGGGAGAGAGGGCATCAACCTGAATCTTTAGATCATCTCCACAAATGGCCCCTCCTCCTAGAAAACCCTCCCTAGTCTTGTGGACTTCAGACAGTATTCTGGCCCTTTCCTTCTGGGGGAACTTGTCCACACACGTCTCTCTCCAGAACCCCAAAAACCTTCTGGGCCATGCACCCACCTCTCTTCCAAGCCTTCCCAGGGCCCCACATCCTTCCATCTCCCAACACCAGACTAATTGATGGTTTATGGCCCATGTCTCTAATAACTCTAAATCCTTTGAGCATAGGTCCAAATGCCACCCTATGCCAGGCAGGGAGAAATCAGAGAACAAAACAGGTGCAGAGATAGGGGAACACACAATAAGGGGTAACACGGTCCAGAGGAAGCAACATGGTTCTGTATGTGGTCAAGGAGCAAGGAGGCCATCCTTCTAATCCTGCCGCTGAAATCTCTCAGGTTCCTGCTCATTCTGCACCTCTAAGGGCCCACCTACAGAGGGATTCCATAGCCCAGTGTCCTCTCTGACCACAGGCTACCCATCCTCCATCCCCAGGCCTATCTGATGACTGGCCCTCCCTTCCCCCTTCCTCTCTAGATAAGGCTCCTTTCTAGACCTTGCAGGGCCCAGCAAACTTCCAAACCTGTCATTAACATTCTAGAACTGTACAGCTGCAGAATTCCAAGGCCCTCCTCTTACCTCCTTCTAAGGCCTCCAGGGCATCAGCCATCCCTGCTGCAAACAGAGCAGCATCTTCTTTGCTGCCAAAGTTGAGGCCCCAGACCTGGCGGGCATCCCGCCACTGGTGGAAATTGGGCGTGGCCCGGTTATACTTGACACCTCGGACGATGGCACAGTTAATAACAACCTGATGGGAGAGGGATTCAGTTAAAGGGAGACACAGCTGCTCCCCGAGGAGAGCCCAAATTCTTGTCCAAAGCCTAGCTCCCCAGTAGAAGTCAGGGTATGGGGAGGCCAGGGCCAAAGGCAGTCCCCTGCTAGCCCAGCTGTTCCCCAAAGGGAGCCCAAATTCTTGTCCAAAGCCCAGCTCCCCAGTGGAGGTTGGGATACAGGGAGGCCAGAGCCTGAGGAGGTCCCCTACTAGCCCGGCTGCTCCACAAAGGGAGCCCAAATTCTTGTCCAAAGCCTAGCTCCCCAGTAGAAGTCAGGGTATGGGGAGGCCAGGGCCAAAGGCAGTCCCCTGCTAGCCCAGCTGTTCCCCAAAGGGAGCCCAAATTCTTGTCCAAAGCCTAGCTCCCCAGTAGAAGTCAGGGTATGGGGAGGCCAGGGCCAAAGGCAGTCCCCTGCTAGCCCAGCTGCTCGCCAAAAGGAGCCCAAATTCTCGTCCAAAGCCTAGCTCCCCAGTGGAAGTCAGGGTATGGGGAGGCCAGGGCCAAAGGCAGTCCCCTGCTAGCCCAGCTGCTCGCCAAAAGGAGCCCAAATTCTCGTCCAAAGCCTAGCTCCCCAGTGGAAGTCAGGGTATGGGGAGGCCAGGGCCTGAGGAGGTCCCCTACTAGCCTGGCTGTTCCCCAAAGGGAACCCAAATTCTTGTCCAAGGCCCAGCTCCCCAGTGGAAGTCGGGGTACAGGGAGGCCAGGGCCCAAGGAAGTCACCTGTTGGTCCGGTTGCATCTTTCGGCCCACCACGCGGAAGGCATTGGTGCTGGGATTGTGGTAGATTTGGACTCTGCTTAAGGCCTGGGGCCCCGTGCCAGCCGGTAACCACTTTTTGTTGACGTCATCGTAAACCATCACAGTGGCCCTGCTAGAGCAGAGCAGGTTCTCACTGAGAGGAAGAGGGCAGAGACTCAGTGGCCTGCAGGGGGTGAATCACTTCACAGAAATCCCAGTCCTCCCTCTAAACTGATGCCCACACAGGAGTCCTGGGCCCTCCTGAGCCTGATGCCACAGCAGGGAAATGAGGGTTGGAATAGAGATCTCTGAGCACTCCTGAAAGCCCTCCCATCACACCGGAGGCAAGTGCAGAGAGCGGATGGACAGAGAGAGCCCCGATGGAAAGCCTTTGGGTTTTCTTCCTTGTCATTGAGTCAGTGAGTCGTGTCTGACTGTTCCTGACCCCTTTGGGGTTCTCTTGGCAAAGATACTGCAGTAGCTTCATTTTCTGCAAATTGTACAACATGGGGGGTTGGGATAGTCCCCAAGATCTCTTCTAGTCCGGACATTCTGTGATTTGTAAGACAACTCTGCCCCGTGCTCCGAATAGATCCCAAAGGAGGAAATTCAGGCACATGGACTTAGGGGGCAGGCTTTGTTCCCAGCCCCAAAGTCATCATGGCAAAGGACCCTCCCTCTAGCTTGCATATCACAAGAAGAAACTACGATTCCCAGAATTCCGTGGAACCCTCCTTTCCCACAGGGCATCATGGGAACTATCTTCTCTTGCTTAAAGGGACTGAGGTTTCTAATAGTACCCCCCACCCCCACCATCTGCCCCATCCCCCATGGGGAAGTAGGGAGGCAAGAAGAGTTCCGGAGGGAGAGTGATACTGATCTGGGGTGTGGGGGGTGGGGTAGGGGAGAACTCTGAGACTCACCTTTTTGTGTGGTACAGAAGGGGAAGACAGAAGTGGGGCAAAAGTTGGAATAGTATTCAGAGTCATAAGGGACCTCAGAGAGGGAAAGGGAGCCCCAGGAAGATGAAATAGCTAATAGATGAAATACCAGGGTCTGCCCCTTCCACCGTGAGAAGGCCACTCTTTCCACTATGCATATAGCCAGAGAGAGACTGTGTTCCCTCTCTGGGCTCACATGAAGCTGCCCTCAGCCCCCTCTTCAGCTCTACAAGCCCCAAAGAGGAGACAGAGGATGTCTCCAAAAGGGGTCAAGCTCACCCAGGGCCCTGGGTGAGGTGGGGGACACCCGGAGGCTGCAAACAGTCAAAAG